CATAGTTGGGTTATTTTTTTTTAAGAATTTGTGTTCTGAAAATCTGAATACATGAGGTGTTATTTGTTTATATTATATAATTTTATCATTTTTTTTGGACTGTTCTTAAAAAGGACTGTAAGTGACAATCCTGCGTCTCCGTATGCGTCTTGAACAAAAAGAACACATAAAAGAAATAAAAAATGATTATGGCGAGGTTAATCAAAATGATCATGTATGGAATACTTTTTACAGCATGCTTAAGTATATCGTTTGATTTGTATAGACAAAGGTATATAAATATCCATACTATATGTCAGGTTCTATATTACACAGACTTTAGATAGACAGACAATTACTTTTAAAGCAAATACTGCCCATCAAATATCCATAAACTACATACATATAAAGAAAAACAGCATTGATGTAATAAAAGACATCGACTGATAGAGTTCTTCGGTTGGGAAGGTTCATTCAGTTTTTGTTACAGTCCTTAAGTCATTACATCAACATATTCATTGAATGCATAAGGTTTATGCTTTAAGAGTGCCTAGGGAATATTTGCACCATATTAATTTCAAAAACACCACATGAGCATTATATTCGGCTTATTTGCGAGTCTAATGGAAATGATATTCGAAAGCAATGTGGGTTATAGAATATCTAACATGTCCAATGGGATAACTATTCTATGCAACATTGACATAAAAATAGAAATGTTATAAAAGATAAACATACTTATTGAATTTCCGCATCATTTGAATGCTTACAAAGTGATATATTTAAAGCATACTTATATATCTCAACTTGTTTGATTTGCTCGTGTATGTAACAACGTATTTGAATTCAACGAAAGAAATCTCTGTATTACTGAAAATTATTACACCAGGGTTTTCGATATCACATACTAGTCAAAACATTTACTAAATTTTATCATTGGTACAAGGACATGTCAGGTCTTTCATGATTGCATATTTTGGTATTAATATTGATTTACTCATAGGGTCTTTGCATCGGAAATAAACACATTTATTATAAAACCAGTTGTTGGCATGATATTGATTATGTTCTTCTCATATGTTTTATGATGGTATCATACTAAACCCCTAACGGGAGGGATTGTACTTGATTTTCATATAATTAAGACACAATCTTTCAATCAGTTTAATTGAGGTCTGGAGCTGGCATGTCAGTAACTGCTAGTAGTCCTTTGTTAATGTATTTTACTTTGTTTCTTTTGTTACCTATTCTGACATCGGACTCGGACTTCTTTTAAACTGAGTTTTTCTGTGCGTATTGCTATGTGATTCTTTATTCTACATTGGCTAGAGGTATAGGGGGAGGGTTGAGATCTCACAAAACATGTTAAACGCCGCCGCAATTTTAGTTCTTTTATATGTTTTGGAGTTTAGTGTGACGTCCACTTTCACTGAACTAGTACACAATTTTGTTTAGGGGTTAGCTGAGGACAACCTCCGGGTGCTAAATTTTCTCGATGTGTTGGAGGCCTTCGGCTGTTGTTTGCTCTTTGGTCGGGTTGTTTTCTCTTTGACATATTCCCTATTTCTATTCTCAATTTTATTACATTATAACTACATTTTTTTCCGATATGTATCTGCAAACTGTCTCGTTTAATTATGAGTATACCAACTGATATAATATAAAATTGTATTTGCATACTTCCAGATATGATTGTTCATGTATTTTTGTAAAATGTTTTAAATCTTGTACTAGCAAATAGCAGATACGGGACTTTATTTATCATTGATGTATTTGGACTTTATCTGACTTGTTGAATATTACGTTGCAATGCACCCATTGATAAAATTGGGGAATGTGGCGATTAAAGAGAATAACGTTTTTATATTCAGATCTGTGTTATTAATTGACTGATTGATTGGTTAAATGATTTCTCGGTTTGAATGACATTTTGTGATTTTCACAAGACAGGACAACAATAACACAGGATATATGTTGCTCTATCAAAATAAACTATCCATGAATTCTCTCTACGATTTTTCATAAGTAATTAATCAATAAAATTACTTCAACATGAAATTCAAATCCACCAAAAAACAAAAAAAAAATATAGGTTTTTTGCATTTAACTTAATATTAGGGATGTCAACTCGGTGAAGATTTACTAATCGATTACTCGTTGGATTTACCGAGCGATACTCGAGCGCTCTCAATAAAAATATTTATTTGAATGTAAGAACAACATTCTAACAGGACACCGATTAGTCGAGTATCATTTTGGTAATCGATACTCGGTACTACCGAGCGATACTCGAGTACTAGAGTACTCGTTGCCATCCCTACTAAATATACAAATACTAAATTAAGCATTCATTTTACACTGAAACACAAAGAATACATGATCATTTAAATAATGGTATGATAATACGATACAAATAATAAAAAGAGGTTGGAGATGTGGCGCACATGCAACGTACAGTTTAAAACCAAGAAGTTGTTGAGGAATGTTTCAAGGTCTCGACTCTTAAACTTATACGAGATATATTCTCCGTTTATTAATTTTTTACGTTTTTTTTTTATCATGATATTAATTGTGAAAAGATGCAATATTATTGTAATTTTCTTCTTTTTTTTTAAATAAACAGACCAATAAAGCCATAACTTTGGATTCTCAACTCTCCTGATGTTTGTTATACCATTGTTGTTAAATGATCATCAGATCATATTGACAGCATTTCAACTGTTTTGGTCTTTATACATCAACGGCTTTCAAATATTTGGCTTTGAGCGTTCCTGATGAAGGTTAATTCAGAGAAGCACGTCGGATGAATGAAATTCCTCCATTCATGTCCAGTGTACAAAGTAGTACCGATATTGTCGACATCGCAAAGTTGACAATGTCGACACAATATTGTACAACGTTGACTATATCGTTTCATACTCTTGTCTACCTCGTTGACATTGACAATATCGCGACGTAGACAATGTCGACACGATATGGTACACCGTTGTCGATATCGTTTCATACTCTTGTCTACATCGTTGACATTGACGATATCGCGAAGTAGACAATGTCGACACAATGTTGTACAAGGTTGTCGATATCGTGTCATACTCCTTTCTACATCGTTGACCTTGCCTATATCGCGAGGTAGACAATGTTGACACGATATTGTACTACGTTGTCGATATTGTTTCATACTCTTGTCTACAACGTTGACATTGACGATATCGCGAAGTAGACAATGTCAACACGATAGTGTACAACGTTGTCGATATCGTTTTATACTCTTGTCTACATCGTTGACATTGCCGATCTCGCTAACACATTACTCGTGTTTACATTGTTAGTTTTGAATACAACTTTGTCGACATGGTGTTGTACTACTTTGTCGATTTGTTTTTATCGTCTTGTCTCTGCAAGGTTGGCATTTCCGACATCGCGAAAAAAGACAATGTCAAAACACTATTTTACAACGTAATCTATTATGTCAACATCACAAAGATGATGATGATGATGATGATGATGATGATGATGATGATGATGATGATGATGATGATGATGATGATGATGATGATGAGGACGAGGATGATGATGACGATGATGATGATGATGATGATGATGATGATGATGAGGAGGAGGAGGAGGAGGTGGAGGAGGAGGAGGAAGAAGAGGAGGAGGAGGAGGAGAAGAAGGAGGAGGAGGAGGAGGAGGGTAGAGATTTGCAAACATTAAAGAAATGTCCAAATAAGTTCTACTATTAAGAACATCGACACAGGCGTAATATAAATACATTATTTGAAAAAATTGAAATTGATAAACTAAACACTTCTTAACAGCCAACTGCTTTTACATATTTTACATTTATCAGTTATCAAATTATTTATGCTATGCCTTTATGAAATAATTACATAAATCCGAAAATTTAAAAAAAAAACCGATGTAGACGATGTCGTCACGTTGTCGGCGATGTCAACGATGTAGACAGGAAAGGGGACGATGTAGACGATTTCGTCACAATGTTGTCAACATCACGATGTTGGCGATGTCAACGATGTAGACTGAAAAGGGGGCGATGAAGACGATGTCGTCACGATGTTGTCAACATCGCGATATCGGCGATGTCAACGATGAAGATAGCAAGAAAAACGATGTAGACGATGTCGTCACGATGTTGTCAACATCGTGATGTCGGCGATGTCAACGATGTAGACAGGAAAGGTGGACGATGTAGACGATGTCGTCTAGATGATGTCAACATCATAATGTCGGCGATGTTAACGATGTAGACAGTAAAGGGGGATAATGTAGACGATGTCGTCACTATGTTGTCAACATCACGATGTCGGCGATGTCAACGATGTAGACAGGAAAGGGGACGATGTAGACGATGTCATTACGATAGTGTCAACATAGCGATATTGGCGATATTGGCGTTGTGAACGATGTAGACAGCAAGAAGAACGATGTCGGCTATATCAACAAGTAAGACAATGTTGCGATCAGGTATGAAATCATGAACAAAGTTGACAATATCGGCGATATCGTCACTACATCGTGCACTGGAATACCTCAATTAATAATGTTGTCTTCATTTATTTGACAGTTATATTCCATATTTTCATTATGCCGATAGTCGTTTAAAAGTCAAAATATGTATTCTCATACCACATCTTCTCATATCTTTCATCTGAAATATCGCTTTAATACACTTTTAGGAATTTTTGGTCCTCAATACTCTTCAACTTCGTACTTTATTTAGCCTTTTACATTTTTTGATTCAAGCGTCACTGAGTGATGAGTCTTTTGTAGACGAAACGCGCGTCTGGCGGAAATATAAAATTTCAATCCTGGTATCTATGGTGAGTTTATTTAATAACAGTGTTTAAAAAAACCCGTATTAAATAGGAAGAAGGTAAACAACAAAAGTGGTGTCATATTTACGTGTTTAACCTTAATATTTCTATGTTGTAAATTTTAAGCTTAATCTTTACAAAGTACAGGTAAGCACACATTTGTTTATCCTTGACCTATAACAGATACACTGAATGAAGAACTATCTCCGTCGTATTGAGAGCTTTTTGATTTTAAACAGGTGTAAACTTTTAACTCAGGTAGATTGATAGTGCATCAGTGTCATTTATTTGAAAGGCTTATTTACTGAATTTGATCTCATTTTCTGTAACAGCTATATATATATTCGGCACACCTGGTCAGTTCGTGGGGGTAAGTTTTGTGTTTATCATGTTTTGCCGTAGTATAGATTATATACATAGATATAAAATATTAGGTCAAATTCAGAAAAATATAAACATTTTCATATGAGGCTGAGAACATCGAAAAGAGCGAGGTTTTTACAGTTTTGTGCTGAATACAAAAATGCTTATATTTTTATAACATCGATCTTATATTGTTTTAAAACTGCAACTTGAATTAATACATTGATATATAGCTATTTAAATTGTAACTCAAATTTCAAACTTATTTTCATTACTTCATGAACCCCTGATTGTGGAAAAAAAGGTGTTCCATGATGAAATTGACGTGACATTGCACAAACTATAGCTGTGTTACTATATTTAGGAAATAAACACAACTAGTCGCAGTATAAAAGAGAGTTTAACTCTTTGAATAGAATAATATATATGAAATAATTACATCAATGACACATGCATATACAAAATGTTTCAAAAAAAGTGGCGTTTAACAATTGCTTGACTCAACGCATTATAGTTTTTACAATGAGTGAAGGAATGCGTAAATGAACAGTTGTCGACTATGTTCAATGTGACAATTGCGCATTTTGTCTACATAAGTCTTGTAAGTAGCACTGTAATCAAAATAATCAAAAGTCAAATCAAATTCGAAGCTGAAAGGGATTGAAAACTAACAAATCAAATACAATATGCAAACTACGTTTAGACAATCCTTGGTTTTTCGAAATGCCAGCGATGTGTAAACTTCTGAATGATAGCATCAACTTTTGCCATGTTAACACAGACTTTTCAGCTGTAGCGTCGACCCAAAAGCATCAAAAAAAAATCAAAAGGGAACAGGCTCAACAGGCTCTTTTTTTTTTCTTTTTATTTAGGATGCATTTTTCTAATGCAGGAGCAATCTTAAAGACAACCAACATTCCGTTCAACCTAAGCAATATCAACCCTTTGTGGTCATTATTTTTAAATGATAGGAATAAATTTGCACGATATTACATTGATTATATCACTGTCTAAGCTGCTGTAATAGATACACTTTATGTGAACAGGAAATATTTGTGAGGAGAAAATAGTTATATGGTTATTTGACTAGATGATCCATTGTACCGAATACTTAATCAACATTGAATTACAATTGAAATATTGAAAGATACGCGGGCCTCGGTTGGGTTGTTTTATTTAATTGTTTACAATACATGACTAATGCTTGTACTGGTCAAATCTACGTGTATGTGATTGTCCACTTTATATACTTTACTCTATCGGTTAACCTTTTTGGTCTAGTGCATAAGGTCATAGATTATGAATAAAATAAGATTTCAACTCCTTCAGGTGAAACTGACTTACAGGTATTTAGCTATGTTGTTTAAGGGACATGTAATGTCATTAGATCATATAGCTTATCACGTGTAAGTTGTGTACACATTTGTGGTTTTCACATTTTGTTTTTGAATGTTCCTGATAAGATAAAAAAAAAAAAAAAGCACTTCCATCACAACAAATTAAAAGCGTTTTGTTCAATTTCTTATTTTGTTAAAAAACATGTTGCCCTACTACAGGTGTCTACTACAGTTTATTTCTATTTCTATGTGACCTAAGATGTTTATTCTTTGTCTACAGAAAATTTAACATGACTTCCACAGTTGAGTGTGGTATATGTCATTATGATGATACTATCAAAGATGCAAGACAGTGGTGTACAAATTGTGAAGAAGGACTTTGTGAGGACTGTGAAAAAGTTCATAGATCTACCAAAAATACCAGAACCCACAAAATCATTTCCATTGATGATTATCGAGAAATAAAGGATGTGTTGGTAAGCCATGTATGCGAGCAACATGGGAAAAGTTACGATTTGTACTGTCCTACACACGATAACACTATATGTATCGTATGCATCGATCAACATAAATCCTGTTCTCAAGTCATTCCACTAACCGAAGCTGTTGTAAATATAAAAGAGTCTACTGCACTTTCGGACTTAGAAAATAAGATAAATGGAGCGCTGCATAATAGTAAAAAAAATATCATAGATATTAAGTCATCTGCTGAAGCATTCGATAAACAAGAGGAAAATATTAAGAAATGCATCAAGGAAGTGCGAGAAGAACTGAATAAACATTTAGATGAAATGGAGCAGAAATTGACCGAAGATTTTGCAACAAAATATGAATATTGTAATACTGCATACGCAAATACAATAAAGCAACTAATCTCATCAGACGACAAGTTAGCAAATTTGAAAAATGAAACTGAAAGCATAAAACGATTTGCGTCAGATGAGCAAATATTCCTAGGAACGCGTGCAATTGGCAAAGTGGTTGAAAAAGAGATAACTTCCATTAAAACCATTTATAACGCTGTTCAATCATATGAAATAAACTTTGAACTTGATGCAAACATTTCATCATTTTTAGACAACGTAAGTCACCTCGGCAGCATATTAGTTAAAGAAGAAAATGTCAATTTACAGTTTAAGGAACAAAAATTAAATCAAGCCCAAATGCAAGTTTCTCTGCCACTCGTTAATGTCGTACATGAACTCCAATTGAAACACATGTTTAAATTAGAAAAAGCTAGCTTGAAGATGGTCGTGACCGGTTGCATTATGTTAGCAAACGGAGATATGCTAATTGCTGATCATTGGAATAGAAACATAGTATTGATATCAAATGAATCTGATAAACCTGCCAAATACATTAACATTTCTGATTTTCCCTATGATATAACAATGATAGATCATAATCTTATTGTTATTACACATGGAACTAGTAGTAATACGTTGGATGTTCTAAATCTTTAGTACAGGTGTTGTTGAAAAGGAGATTTAAACTCAACAATTTGCTAAGAATCATTCTACAACAGAAGATTGTTTCGGAATATCTTACTGGGACAATAAACTTTGTGTGATGGTTGAAAGAGTTGGAATAGTCGTGCTTGACACATCAGGCAAAGCCTTAGAAACCCTGCCAATAAATACTGAAAAAGGTCGGAAAGTCGTCGTCTATAAAGATAGGATATACTATACTAACAGAAAAAAGAACACTATTCACTGCCTGAATACAGTAGGTCAGGAAATTTGGGTCTATCGAGATAAATTGATTGTTGAACCTTGTGGTTTAGCTGTAGCTAGCAACCTTGACGTGTTTGTATCATGTAGCAAATCTAACAATGTTATACTTATAAGATGCGATGGAAAAGATAGCAAGATCTTATTGCGGAAAGGAGACAATCTAGTTAAACCTAAAGCAATACATTTCAATAGAGAAAGGAGAGAATTATTAGTATGCAATGAAAACAACCAACATGCTGCAGTTTACAAAATAATATAGAGTACTGTATTGTGGAAATATTGTATTTTCGTGGATATTTGATTCTGTGGTTTTACAAAAGTCTTCATACAAGCCTAAACATAATTTGTACCTCGTTGAACATTTTAATTCGTGGTTCACCTCAAACCACGAAATTTACGAAAATTGGTATCCACAAATTGAATCCACAGTATCTAAAACATTAAATTTAAAAAATGTTATTCTTTTAACATTGTTTCCTTTATCGTAAATACATTGATGTTCTTCAATGTGATTGTCAATAATTCGCGGTAAATGAAGGTTTTTTTTATTGTTTTCTGTCGTCAACATTACGATGTTGTCAAAGTTTATCAAATTGAAGAAGGTTGACACAATATTGACGAAAATAGGACCTGACGCAAAGTATTGTTTATTAAACTAAATAAACATCTAAATTTCTTTTTATAATAGTCTGTATATTAATGCGATAAGAAGTTTGTTTAATGATATCCATTGCAACATATTTAAAGACCATGTACATGTATTCAAATGTATAGGTTTTATCTATAAGAGAATATTTTTTTTTAGCCATGGAGTTGTCAGTTTGTTTTCGACTTATGAGTTTGAATGTCACTCTGGTTTCTTTCGCCTATCTCCCACTATTGTTTATGTCATGAAAACGACCAGTAAGTGGAATTACGAATGTTAATGCAAAAACATTGTGTAGGTATATTTTCATTATTGAAATTATTGACACTGAGAAAGACAAGAGTGCACACGCTGAAATGTCTCGCCTTCTTTACTAATCATTGATATTATGTTGATAGTCTTACATATAAGATTTACTACAACAATCACATAAACTTAACATGATCCATGAAAATGAGGTCAATATCATATAAACTAAACAAGAAATACATGTACACCTTACAATCATTCAATACACTAAATATAGTTGACCTATTGCTAATAGTTTCTAAGAAAACAGACTTAACCAATAAAACTAAATATTGACCAATGAACCATGAAAATGAGGTCAAAGGTCAGATAAACCATGCCAGGCAGACATGTACAGCTTACAATTCTTCCATACAACAAATATAGTTGACCTATTGCTTATAGTTTAAGAAAAACAGACCCAAACACAAAAACTTAACACTGAGCAATGAACCGTGTAAATGAGGTTAAGGTCAAATAAAACCTGAGAGACTGACATGTACATCATAAATATTTCCATACACCAAATATAGTTGACCTATTGCATATAGTATTAGAAAAAAAAAAAAACCATAAACTCAAAAACTTAACTTTGACCACTGAACCATGAAAATGAGGTCAAGGTCAGATGACACCTGCCAGCTAGACATGTACACCTTACAATCATTACATACATCAAATATAGTAGACTTATTGCATATAGTATCTGAGATATGGACTTGACCACCAAAACTTAACCTTGTTCACTGATCCATGAAATGAGGTCCTGGTCAAGTGAAAACTGTCTGACGTGCATGAGGACCTTGCAAGCTACGTACATACCAAATATAGTTATCATATTACTCATATTGAGAGAGACATTAACATTACAAAAAATATTAACACTAAACCATGAAAATGAGATCAAGGACAGTGGACATGTGACAGACAGAAACTTCATGACATGAGGTATCTATATACAAAATATGAAGCATCCAGGTCTTCCACTTTCTTAAATATAAAGCTTTTAAGAAGTTAGCTAACACCACCGCTGCCGCCGCCGGATCACTATCCCTATGTTGAGCTTTCTGCGACAAAAGTCGGAGTCTCGACAAAAATCAGGAAGGTAACGACATTGTTATTGTATAGTAGTAAATTTTGAACATATTTTTGTAGTTACATTTTATAACATAAGCGGTAATTGATATATATTAAATGATTGAGGGGATTACTCTATCTTGCTTTAGCATATTAGTAGGTTTTAATTCAATCATTCCTTCAATACTGATTTTGAATGATTTGGAATAACTGGAGAATTGTTTTTTTTAATTTTTATTTGTTGTAGCAGAATTGGTTAACATTGTTAGCAATTTAAGATATGATACAAACTCTTCAATCTATTTTGAAACATATCTCTACACCTTACATTTAATTTTTTAAATTTCTAACTAAGGGCTTAACATGTATTTTGAATCGATAATATTAAACTGTCATAATATGTTATCTAACTTATTGTATAGAAAAGGTTTAACAAGAAATACCTTTTTGAAATATGAGTCATAAAATATAAGATTTGTTATAGATACATAAACAAATATGAACTTTCCTTTTAAATGATCGACAAAATCGTATAATACAAATGACAGCAATATTGGAACATAATGTGAATGCAAAATTTTGTCCGTATAAATCTAGATTACCAGCATGTCCTCTTTGTAATCAAAATATTGTCTCGCAACAAAATTTCGGTAGTTTTGATACCTCAGGCTGACTCCTATAACAAAATTATTTGACCGCATCATCAAAATCTGACCATATTTGTACTTTATTTTGTAAATTTATATAGCTGCATTGTAAATCAGCAACTATTTTTATGTCAGGATTTAATGTATAATATAAATGACAGCAATATTGGAACACAACAACTACAAATTTTTGTCCGCATAAATTTAGAGTGCCAGCATGTCCTCTTTTTGTTCAATATATTGATACGTAACAAAATTTCAGTAGTTTTGATACCCCAGGCTGACCCGTATAGCAAAATTATTTGACCGTATCAACCAAAACTTACCATATTTTCACTTTATTTTGTAAATCTATATAGCCGCATAATAATTCAATAATATTTTATGTCAGGATGTATTGTATAATACAAATGACAGCAATATTGGAACATAATGTGAATGCAAAATTTTGTCCGTATAAATCTAGATTACCAGCATGTCCTCTTTGTAATCAAAATATTGTCTCGCAACAAAATTTCTGTAGTTTTGATACCTCAGGCTGACTCCTATAACAAAATTATTAGACCGCATCATCAAAAACTGACCATATTTGTACTTTATTTTGTAAATTTATATAGCTGCATTGTAAATCAGCAACTATATTTATGTCAGGATTTAATGTATAATACAAATGACAGCAATATTGGAACATAACAACTATAAATTTTTGTCCGCATAAATTTAGAGTGCCAGCATGTCCTCCTTTTGTTCAATATATTGATACGTAGCAAAATTTCAGTAGTTTAGATATCCCAGGCTGACCCGTATAGCAAAATTATTTGACCGTATCAACCAAAACTTACCATATTCGCACTTTATTTTATAAATCTATATATCCGCATAATAATTCAGTAATATTTTATGTCAGGATGTACTGTATAATACAAATGATAGCAAAATTGGAACATAATGTGAATGCAAAATTTTGTCTGTAAAAATCTAGATTGCAAGCATGTCCTCTTTTTAATCAAAATATTGTCTCGCAACAAAATTTTAGTAGTTTTGATACCTCAGGCTGACTCCTATAACAAAATTATTTGACCGCATCATCAAAAACTGACCATATTTGTACTTTATTTTGTAAAACTATATAGCCGCATTGTTAATTAGCAACTATTTTTTATGTCAGGATTTAATGTACAATACAAATGACAGCAATATTGGAACACAACAACTACAAATTTTTGTCCGCAGAAATTTAGAGTGCCAGCATGTCCTCCTTTTGTTCAATATACATGATATATTGATACGTAACTAAATTTCAGTAGTTCTGATACCCCCGGCTGACTTGTATAGCAAAATTATTAGACCGTAGCAACCAAAACTGACCATATTTGCACTTTATTATGTAAATCCTTATAGCCGCATAATAATTCAGTAATATTTTTATGTCAGGATTTAATGTATAATACAAATGACAGTAATATTGGAACACAATGAATACAAAATTTTGCCCGCATAAATTTAGAGTGCCAGCATGTCCTCCTGTTGTTCAATATATTGATATGTAACAAAACTTCAGCACTTTTGATACCTCAGGCTGACTAGTATAGCAAAATTTGTTGACCGTATCAACTAAAACTGACCATATTTGCACTTTAGTATGTAAATCTATATGGCTGCATTATATTTAATCAGAATTTTTTTTATGTCAGGATGTCATGGATGTACTGTATTATAATACAAATGAAAGCAATATTGGAAAACAACGAATGCAATATCTTTTCCGCATCAATTTAGATTGTCAGCATTTCATCTCTGTATTCATAATATTAGACCATCACTAAAGTTAGTAGTTCAGGATCAAAATGAGGATGGTGTGTATAACAAAACTATTTGACAGCATCATCCAACACTGACATGTCTGATTTCATTTTTACTTTATAATGAAAAGTATCAGAAGTTCTCTTCTGGGAATAGTATACATGTCAGTTGATTGATTTTGTTTGTAGCTAAACCTCAAGTGGCAACTATTTCATTCATGTGCACAACGAGTATATTTTTTGGAAGTCCCATATCATCATTTTTAATCGGTAAAGACAAATCGGACGAAATTGACGAGATTGTTCATAATTATTCAACACCTTATGTATCCGACACTGTACAATTTTCGTTAGAATATTTTGTCGAAAACAGAATCGTAAATCCAAGGCAAACAAGGTGAATTACGATGAAATATCCATGTAATGCATAAAGTTAAATTTAAGGAAGAGACTGTAAAAAATGGGGAACGAAGCAACGTCGACAATGATGTTGATATCCCATGACATAAAAATATTGTTCCGATGCGTTGGATAACCTTTCTATCTGCCTTCTAATTAAATAAAAAACTTTCCTTTCTTTAATGATAGCTGTAAGTGATCACAAGTGTGTAATTTTATAGTCATTGTTTAATTTATATAAGAATATGAAATGAAAAAAAGATATTTTTTTTAATGTGTATAATATCGATAGAGTCTAACGAGTAAAGTAATTTGCTATACTGGGTAAAAAGAACAATGCAATTATTGTTAACATATTAAAACAAAAGTCTTAAACACGATAATCTGTCATAAGCAGACCTGTTCCCAGGTCTGGTCAATAGCAGACTTGTCCACAGGTCTGGTCAGGAGCAGACCTGGCCACGGGTCTGGTCTGGAGCAGACCTGTCCACAGGTCTGGTCTGGGGCAGACCTGTCCTCAGGACTGGTCAAAAGCAGACTTGTCCACAGGTCTGGTCTGGAGCAGACCTGTCAATAGGTCTGCAGCAGTCATAAAAAAGCAGACCGTAGGTCTGGTCTACCAACGACAAAGTTAACTTGCTTGTCTGCTTAAAATTTCACAAGTTAACTTGAAAAGCAGTCAACAAGTCTGCTCAAAGTTAACTTTTGTACTGGTTAGGACCGCACCCATCTGTATGTAATACAACTTTGTTTATAATAAAAAGGGGAACAAATCCGCATTAAAATCGTTAAGTTTGAGATCAAAAAAAGGTTAACAG